TTCCCTACTAAAATGCATGCACGTTCACTTTTCTTTTTATTTCTCACTCATTAAGAGGTTGTCTTAAGCCACACAGCTTAACGCTATTTACATTTTCATTATTGCGGCGTTACTGGGAAGAAATGGCATGAAATCCAGCAGTGTTGGGGACATTAGACAAGCTTCATTCTCACTGCAAATGGATTTACATAAATAAAGGACTTGATACATGTGAGTGAAGGGGAGAGGGAGGCTCAAGTCGCAAATGGGCAAAGGAAGGAAGATGTAAAAGTGCTAAACGAGACTGGGTTGTTGTAGCGCCGTAAAGTGGGCTCAGAGGGACTGGCAGAGGTCTTCTGATCCACTGCGTGTGATCAATATGGCTCTGGATTGGCTCATTACTGGAGCAGCCCTCGCCATGTTTACCATACAATAGGCTAGGGGGATCACCAGTGCTCCCGGTGTATGTGCTGCTCTGTGCGCACTCAGGCATAATAAGACACTTAAGTTCTTGCTTTATTTATTTTGCCTATGATTGTGACCCAGCAGTGAATATTGTATATGCAGGTTCTTAGGCTCGAGGGGAATTAGAAAGTAGTGGTAAGAGTATAGTGTATGGATATTAAAGGAAACGATTTGAACCCCGTGACTCTTTATTAAACATATGGTTCATAGGAAATGTTCAGATTGAGCTAAAACAATGTTATAGAAGAGGCATCCGTCTAGCCCCACCTTTAGTCCCCTTTTGCCCCCTTTCCCCTCGTCAGGGAAATATGAACATGCACATTTGTATGGATCTGCTCCTCCTCTGACAAAGTTGTGAAGTGTCTGGTGACTCTTATCACACGTTCAGAAAAGAAAATTGCCAGAGAAAGTATGTACAACTCAGGGGAGGAGCTAGGTAGTGGCAGTGAGAGGACTGAGGGAAGAGCATTGCGGTTATGAGGATGTAAAAGGCTCAAACATGTATGAATGAGTTTAACCCTTAATTTATCTTAAAAATATTATATTTTGCATACTTGTGAGTCACTACCAGTGGGGTCAGGCTCAAAAGGATCCGTGAGCACCTGTGTGACATGCTTGTAATCTGACTCCTTGCTGGTGGTGTTGTACCCGGAAACAGAATTTTCCAATTAATTCTTATGGCACCTTTTTTCCTCTCGATAACAGCTTTACGGTCTGTCCAAAAGTTGGCTCTTGACTCAACGCTGATTCCAGATGCGTGTCAATGCTGAGGGGGTACTATTTTGGACCAGCCTAGTATAGCTGCTGTGGACTTTTGAATGCATTTTTAAACAGTATGTAATTCTTTGGGCTGAGAGCTGACCTAAACACGTGACAGAGGCCAAATAATCCAAAAGAGTGGTACCTCAGATAAATAATAAAATAATGATGAATTGTATTTTTGGCGAAAAGCGTTCAACAAAAGTGTGATAATTGTTTGAGAAAGCTCTGAGGTTCAGCCTGAGGTCCCAGTCACTTTGATGTGTGCAGAGCAGTGATGTTTCAGCCTCACTGCTACAGAATGCCAATGACAGACTTTGCCTCGGAGGCTTCTTCCTGGAGCAGAAGTCCCTTTCCTTCAAGAAGATTTTCAGCCAATCACACTCAGGCATTTGCTGTTTACTATTTTCTCTTCAAGCTCCCCTCCAAGCGGTGGCCCTCAAACCTTGTCTTAAAAGCATGAATAAAGAACTAGCAATGAGGGTACAAACATGTTTTAGTCACTAGCCTTTGTTTTTCTTTCTCAAGGAAACCAAATGTTAAACTTAGAAATATTGATTTTATGTGCTGAATAAAATTAGGTGCACTTTTAACTTTTTCTGCTACTAAAATGTGAGTTTCTGATAAAGCAACTCTTAATGGCATGGCTTCAACATCGGAGATAAATGCTTTTATTTATTTTTTCCTTTTGCTAATAATAAATCTCTGTTGTATTTTACTTTTATCTTTCAGACTTAAAGATTGAGGCACATAGATCAGACCTCATTTTAAAGCAATTTTTCTCAGCAAAGAAATGACCACAAACCACAATTAGTTGATTGTTAACTGTTCTCTGATCTGTGTTGGTGATTTCAATGGTTTTGTTAAGTCCTCTGAGGTGACTTCTGTTGTGACCTAGGGCTATACAAGAATAAATTGTATTGTATTGTATTGTAGTAATAATTCATACACATTACTCATCAGCTCTTGGCCTTCTTTACCTCTGGTCTTGCATGAATGTACTCATTTTGTTCAGAAAACAACAACAACAAAGAATTATCTAAGCCCATATTAATTCAAAAATACTTATGTGTTCAAAATACTTAAATACTCAAAATACATCATTTTAAAAAGTAAAAACACAATCAACAACAAACGTAAGATATGCGCTAAACAAACCTCCCACACATAAAAAACTGGATTTTTGGGTAAGTAAGTGAGTAAGTAATCTTTATTTATATAGTCACAAAGCACAAAATTGTTATTATTTTTGGGCATTTGTCCACTCACTCCACACAGAGATGGGAGTGGGGTCGCCAGTACAGGAGGCGCATGCCAGAACTATTGTGCATGTTTTTAGTGGTAGGGGAAACCAGAGTACCCGGAGGAAACCTACGCAGACACGAGGAGAACATGCAAACTCCACTCAGTCCATATCTTATTATATCCATAATTCCAATTAGATTACAAATAAGGTCTATTCATCCTGCAGCCTGTGGATGTGACAGGTTAATAACAGTTTAAAAAATAGGATGAATAACAGTTAGGAGTCTGTTGCATCAGGCAGTCTGTGGATTATCAGTGGGGCATTAAAATAGTGCACAGTTGTGTATATTTGAGGCATTAAAACAGTTGTGTGTAAGGGGTGGGAACCTCAGGGTACCTCACGATACGATACGCGATACAAAGCTCACAATAACGATTATATCACAATATGACAATTATCAATGTATTGGTCAGAAATATATCGTATGCCAATTTATGGCATAAATAAAAGAAACATTTTAAGTGAAAAAATACACTTTATTTCATGATAAATGAATGGAGATGCGTAGTGTAGTCATATATAAGTATTGATACTAATTTCAAAACAAACCAAAAATTGATACTTGGCAAATGCATATCAATAATCGATCGCGGGAGAAAGTATCACGCTATATCTTTATATCGATATATCGTCACACTCCTAGTTGTGTGTATACTGTATATGATGCATTAAAACAGTTGTGTGTATATATGAGACATTAAAAACAATTGTGCGTATATATGATGCATTAGAAACGGTGCATTTTAAACAGTTGTGTATGTTTGGTCTTTTAACAGATCAGAGAACCTAGCACTTTGAACACAGGACATGCATAAGACACATAAGTGACTCCCTCTATTCTTCAAAATGAGCCGATTTTAGTCCATATCTTATGCTTTGAAATTAGCATAATTAATAACTTGCGCATCAAGAATCAAATGCAAAAATCAGCATCAGTCTCAAACACATATTGATCGACTTCTACTATAAATATAAGCAGCCTATTCTCTGTGTATTATCTGAAATGCTTTAATGCAAAGTGGATAACTCGGCAAAGGTAATTGGCTCTTACATTCCGGTTTACACTGGATTTGCTGTGGCTTGTTTGATGATTAGGCGCAGAGTAGACTATAATGGAACGCGGCACTATAACGAAGGCCGCTCTGGCTTTTATAGACACATCCCCTGCTTTAATGAAAGGTAAACAACAGGAGCACAGCCGCAGGAGGCCAGCGCTGTGTGCTCTGGGCCTGCGTACACAAACTAGCACTGTTCTATTTGAGCAGAGGTCAGAAGTCACTTTTTTTTCTTACACACAAGAAAATTGAAAGTGAAGAGCACGCGGGTCCTTGGGGGGCACTGTCAGTTTGCGATTCATGCATTGTCAGCCAAATATACGTGGAAATTAATCCGACAGTGAGTTTGAACCCCTATGTGTGCCAAAGTCTATATGAGATTAGGTGTCTGGTCTTTAATTTAATTTGAAATAGTCATAATTAGCCGCCCAGATGTAATTACAACTGTGCAAAAGGGTTACACATCTACTGTTAGCATTCATCAGAACTCGCCATATCTGGGCATCCTCTGGTCCAGTGGGCGAGCTCCCATGATGCTTTGCGGCAAATACGCGTGTGTGGCTCTTATGCACGTGCACAAAGGGGCACAAAGGGTTAGAGTGGGAGGCAAACGAGCAGAGTTTGTTGCACTAAAGTGTGGATCTATAGAAAACCAACGGATGTAAAAAGAAAAAAAATTCAGGTGGACAAGGGACACTAAAATCCCCACAAAATTCAACCTTGAAAGCTATAGGTTTTCTGTCATCTTAGTTTGAGCTGTGTTATTTTATTGAGTTCTATGAGACAGCTATAGGCTAGTAATATCCTATCCAGATATTATAATAGATCCGTGGTGATGTCGCACTCACTCAGTCTTTTAGATTTAGGTTGTACTATAAAATCCAGTTCCCCTCGCACGCATATAAGCATCGTGAACCAGAAAACATCCAACCACTACGATTATGTAGCTTCAGTTTACTATTAATACACTGCAAATCCTTTTCAAATTCATGGACACTCTCTGCTTTTTTAATCCTAATCCAAGACGTGGTAACTGCAAGTAAACCTGGATCTAAAGTTTCGGTCTGAGCTGAACGTGCTTCTTGACTGGTTCAGAGGAAATGGGTCAAGATAAATGTATTTAACGTGGGGGAGCTCGTGTGTGCCCCAGCTGAGTGCCCGTCTCTGTCACCTCCTTCTCTTGCACCCTCCATATTCATCCATTATGGAACCGATTATGGAACTGATTTCATACAAATTAACCGGATTCTTTTGAAGTTGCGCGGTGCGGTGCCGACTCCTGCCGACTCCTCACTAATGGCTCTGGTGCTTTTGGGCAAATGTATTATTGAGAAGGAAAGGATTTAATTCACTTTAAATATTTGATAAGTGGTGTTATACTTAGATTATAGGCAAACAGATTTTCCTTGTTGAGAAGGAGAAACTGTTGTACCAACTTACCAACAAGCACCAAATGCTCTAGGGGTAAGAAAAAGAAAAAAAAAACGCTTTCACTGTCGCCCATAGAGTGGAAAATTTCTGTTTTTGAAAGATTGTAAGAGACAGTAATGACCATAATTGCCTGCCAAGTCTCATTCACATCCACTGCTCAATATGCTGCCGCCGCCTGTAATTCCTCTCCTCTTCGTGTGGATCCTTTTTCCACTTGTTTGTAATTGCGTGGTGTTATTCTGAGTTGGTAAAAGTGAATCTCGCCTGCACTGTACTAAATGAAAGCGGTACGTTAACCTCCGAGTGTCGGTGATGGCGTGGAATCCCAGGTGCGCTGTTGGCGTGTCGGTGCGGCACAGCTGTTGTGGAGCAGAGCGGGCGGCGGGCACCGGTCCAGACGTTTTAGCAACTGGATTAGCGTCGCAGCCATTAGCATTTGAACTCCTGTAATGTGACAATATGACAGGGATTATGCCGTTTGAGGGCGAGCGGCAAGAGCGGCAGAATCAAAAAGAACTGTGAGGAAGCCCAAAAAATACTGTTAAAATTACAAGTTTAAGTTAATCTTAGGAATTGTAATTATTCAGATTCAAATTAAGATATCCTTTACTTGTCCTACTGTGGGGATATGTCATTGTTGCATTACCGGTGTGGCTCTTATATTCTAATTTTTGGACATAGGAGCACATAACACAACAAAAATAAACAATATTTCTATATCAAAATGAAATAAAATGAAATCTCTAACTTTAGCTTAAAAAATAACAAATTGTAAAATCTCAAACTTCAGCATAAAGAAGATTCAAGAAGCATATTAGTCTCTATCTATTAGCATAATAAAGAAGCAATTATAAAATACTGTATATTCTAATGCGACGAATATATAGTTGTATGTGTACACCGGTATATGTTAGTAGGAGTAAACCAAAACGTATTTCAGCAGAGATTTAAATGTTCGGGCAGATGTGGTTCAGCTCTTATAACTTTTTGTGCCAGGTACATGGTAACACAACACAGGGTGGACCAGCTGCTAGGCCACATTGTCCAGCGTCAGAATAGTTGTGTTGTCAAAGTTTCAGAAAAAGACTTCTTTTCTTCTTTTGTTTCTTTGTTTTACTCATTCCAACAATCATGGATTCTAATAGGTTTAACTTACATACTATTCAGTACTAGATAGATAGATAGATAGATAGATAGAAAGATAGATATACAGTAGATAGATAGATAGATATACAGTAGATAGATAGATAGATAGATATACAGTAGATAGATAGATAGATATACAGTAGATAGATAGAAAGATAGATATACAGTAGATAGATAGATAGATAGATAGATATACAGTAGATAGATAGATAGATAGATATACAGTAGATAGATAGATAGATATACAGTAGATAGATAGATAGATAGATATACAGTAGATAGATAGATAGATATACAGTAGATATAGATAGATAGATAGATATACAGTAGATATAGATAGATAGATAGATATACAGTAGATATAGATAGATATAGATAGATGGATAGATATATATACAGTAGATAGATGGATAGATAGATAGATAGATACTTTATTGATTCTAGTAAGAACAATTCAGGTGTCCGTATAGCTGGGTTTTATCTTTTCAAACCATACAAAAAGAATAAGCAGTTCCATCCATTTTCTACCCTTTAATCCATTTCTGGGTCAGGGGGGTGACAGTCAGAGATGCCACCCAAGTCTCATAGCACCAGCCCCTCACTGACCCTCTGCAGGTGGTGAGTCCACAGGAGGACGGCTGCTCTCTGACTGTGAGCATAGCCTTGATCTTTCAGTGGGGGCTTTGGGCAAAGTGGGGTTAAGTGTCCTGCCCAAGGACACAACGACAGCAGTCATCAGTGGGAGTCGGTGGAGAAGGTGCAGAGGTGGGAATTGAACCCACGACCTTCTGGCCTTAAGGCCAATGCTCTACCAACTGAGCTACTGTCGCAGTAGCAGTAAGCAGTTCCTTGCTCTCAAAAAAGTTCGATTCCATCACCAATATTCACTTGCATGTATTTTTCTGCACACAACACGTCCTTAAATCTGCTTTTTCACACAGAAAGGTTAAGAGAGGACCACCCTCACTCGTTCAATCAACTCTCCAATCAGCACAACACATCAAGTTGTGACTCACAGGGCTTTTGAATATGTAAGATATTATACAACATATCTTACATCAGATTCAAAGCAAATGAATCATTTAGGAAAAAATAAGTTAGGTAGTCCAGCCTCTGCATGTGTGGTTATGTATCACTATTATGTCTATTCTTTTTGTGTTTCTGTGTTTTGTGTTCCTTTTTCTGTTTGTGTAGAACCGCATGTGTCCATACAAAACTGTATTTCTCTTACACTAGAATATACCGTATTTTAAACTTGCTTCTTTATTATACTAAAGTTAGGGACTTTATACTTACTTCTTTTTGTGCTAAAGTTAGAGACTTTATAATCAGATATTTTATACTTTCTTCATTAGTATGCTAAAGTTTTTTTTATTTTATGTAATCTTAGTATAAAGTTATTGTTCATTAATCTTGTGTTGTGTGCGTCTCATTCCTTCTTTCTGTAAATTGTCATTTAGACCATATGTTTTTTTGACCTTAGCATCTGGTTTGAAAGTTAGAATTATCTAAAAGAGTGTAACATTTTGGCTTTGTGAAAACAGCATTTGTTCTTGAACTTAGTTGAAGAGTGTGCAAAGCCACATTACCTTCTCTTCAGGGTAGTGGAGCAGTAGTGACCTTTCTCGCTGAAATGCTCAGTAGTTGCTGTGGCGACGAGCTCTCCTTTTGCCCTCGCTGTCCTCTGCAGAAGTGGGTCAGCTGAACTTTAGACTTCAGATGGCCCCATGAAGGTGCTGCACTGATTGCTGAACACCGGATGACTTCCAAACACTATCTCCTATCAAAAGAGCTTTCTACCCTCTCCAGCTCTGCCCCCACCAGTGCACCATAGAAGAGTGGTGTTTGTATCAATCCTGGCGACGTTTGCAAACTGAAACCTAGAGTAAGCACTTTGTTTACCATGATATATTTACTGGAATATTCTGGAATAATCTCTGCTAAGGTGCTACGGTCTGCCTCTGTTATTGTTGCTCTAAACTATCAAATTTGCATAGACCTGGGCTACATACTCTACGTCATTTTAAATCCAAATGTATCAAGAAAACCAACATGTGAATTATTTCATTACAAACAATGGTGCCAGAACAGAACAATAACAAACCTTAATCAGCCTCACAGTCTACCATATTCAACCTTCCATAAATAATCTAATTGATTAGTTCAGAACAATTTTTCCAAACAAAAAATATCCAATCTCAATAAATGCAATTATTTAGTCAAATTAGCAACGGATGCTGATGAGGCAAAACTAAGCAAAACTTAATTCAAAGAAAATGTTTGATTAAGTAAACTAACTTGCTACGCTTTCTTTGGGCGATACACGGACGAGTTTTCTACTCCTTTGTTTGTCAAAAAAAACATGCAAAGCAGAATGATGTTGGTGCATTCTTTCACTTCTTTGCGGCGGCTTCAGGAGGATGTTGTTTAGAAAGTTGTTATACTACTGGGGCTCGCGTGTGTCATGTCATGTTGTGTTGTAAAGTTCCACTGCCCACTACTGGTAGGGCGCTAGAACTACATTGTTTTCCCCGCACTCTAAACGCTTGAAACGTCTGTGGAGACCCTCTGCATAAACAGGGCCTTAATATAGAAGTTTAGACACCCCTGACCCATAGGTATACTGTTGGGGGTTTGCGTATGTGTACTTTACACACAGATTGTATTGTGTTTTTGTACTTATTTATTTGTTCCTTTTATGAAAATGTAGTTGATCTCGGTACATTGTTCACATATTGATAGTTCCAATATATTTCCGGCCATGAATATTACTTGGATCGATTGACATACACTGTACTTTATGACCTCTAGCTGTCTCAGGTAAATTAAGTTTGAGTTGACCGGATATAAAGGATAATTTCTCATGATACAATGAACCAATAAAAGCGATCCAATTTTAGGATTGACAGAAAACGCATCATGGTCAGAATCACCTCCTCTGCAAATGTTGTCATGACACTGAAATAACAACATTCTAAAAAAGACTCGATAATATGATGAGGACTTCAAAATGTTATTTTTTTGGACAATGAACTGTTATTTTTCACAATTTTTGTGTTAGTTTTGCTATGTCATTATTAAACTGATCAAATCATTTCATATTTTGTTCTGTTAAAGTGAAGGTCAGGAAAAAGTCAAGCTCAAGCTCAGCAATAAACTTCTCCACAGCATCATGAGTGGACAAAATACGGGCCATTGGTCAAATATCTGATTCTTGATACTTTTTCCAGCCTTAGGGCAGACAGACCAGTGAACATTTGATCAGTGACACAGAGTCAGAGAAAGAAAAAAAGCCTCCATGTAAAAATGTGAAGCAGGATACCAGTTGGCACGAGTGAAAGCCTTTTATAAGATGATTTACTTATACATACTGTCACTAGTAATCTGATTGAGCATGTGCGTACGTGAGGCGAGCAGCCAAGTACAAATGGTCCTGACCACTTGTGTTTACATGATCTCAGTGCTGTAATTGGGCCGGTACGTGCCAAGAACCGGCTTTTGGCGTACCGGTACTTACAGTCTCTGACCGGTACTCACAGTCTCTGACCAGTACTTACAGTCTCTGACCAGTACACTCATCTGCACATTGTACATTTCTCCTGTGTGAGATTAATAAAGTACATCTTATCTTATCTTATCCGTTTTATTTCTTTAGCTGCTCCTCTGCTTTTCAGAGCACCTTTCACATTGCACGCTTCCTACTTCATCTTACCGAAAGCAGAGACTACACCTTTATACCCTAAAGTTGTAGGAAAGAACGGCACATGCATCACTTTTGTCCCTGTAAACGGCTCAATGTGATGCTTGTCCACAAACAAGTGGATTAGGAGGTGTGAGATACGTGCAATCATAGATCTTTGGTTAAAATCCAATGAACACTAAGCCCGCTCTGCTCCCCCGGCTTCAGAGAAGTAAAAGAACAAGGTCAGAATCAGAGGACTCGCTGACCCCCACCGAGCCAGGATGACATCGCTGCAGGTCAGACACAAATGAAGCAGCACTTGTGCCGCGGCCATTGACTTCTACCGATGACAACAGCCACGTTAGCATGAGTGGCTAGCATGTTGGTCTGTCATACAAGTTCAGTATTTTTCCAAAAATTTCATTTTTCACTACCATTTTGCATTCTTAATTTATTTCAGTATTTCTAGCTCAATCATATCCTTAAACAAATGTAAATATATATTTTTTTCCATAAAGTTGTTTGTTGAGAGTTGTAAATAAAACTGTGCATTCTCTTGCATTTAAAACATGAGAAAATTCCCCTGGGCAAAAATCAGAAGAAGAGTTGCGGCATCTCTTTTGGGCCACTTAAAGCGCTGCATGATTTGAATAAATCGGACGGCGAGACCTCAGTGGACGTGCCATGGATTACATGCATTTTGATTTATTGTGTCAATTTGGGTCAGGACACTCATGCATTTGTCCATCCTCACATGCGAACACAGTGTTTAGGCTCCACTCATATACAGTATATCAATTTGTTTCATCGCTGCTCCACCAACAAAGGAAATGTAAAAGATAACATGGGGAGGCAGCATGTCAGATTTATGCAGCTAAAATCTCGAACAGTCTTCCTGAGACAGGTTTATTCTCTGACAATGTTTAAATCCAAGTTAAAAACAGTTCTGTTTAGCTTTGTATACATTAGACATGTAGGGCAGGATATGTGGATCTACTGTGATTATTTATGATTTGAATGCCTTGTATTGTTTCTTGTTTTGTTAAGCGCTTTGAGTTGCCTTGTGAATGAACTGTGCTATACAAATTAGCTTACCTTGCTGCTGCCAGGAAGTTGATAAATCCAATGTTAATACAATACATAATCTTAAACTAAAACATAATACCTTGCAATTATATATAATAATTCAATTTAAAACATCTGCCATTGGTTTTCATTCACCTTATGGCTCCCCTTCAAACCAGACTGATTGGTCATTAGTTACCTCTTACTTTGCACTAATGTAGGCAATGCAGAGGATAATCTACATGGAGAAACACATAATATTATGATCTACTCCCTACATTAGATACATGAAAGCAGAGAGTAATTAAAACAAAAAAAACCTGAGGAACTGTTTCTTGTAACATACACCGGTTACATGTTTAGCTACTCCTCCTTGCCCTACCCTTTTGTAAATCCTTCTGTAAATCCCACATCTCCCAGGGCTGTTTGACTGATCGTCGTCTGGGGAAGTTACTGTTAACATCGTGATCTTGTATGTGACTAATGTCCAAAGTCACTTTCGTATAAAGTCGAAGCAATGATACGTAATCGTTTCATGCATGCTTTTGGAAGTTCTCCCAGACATTATCTTTTGAGTTGGTATGTGGCAACAACCTTTCAAAGTCAGTGCTATGAATATTATTTTTGACTAGTCATTTTCATAATGAGACTATTAGGAAATATAATTCATATTATGCACATTTACATTCATATGAAGGCTCAACGTTGAAACGTTGCATTCCCAATACATTTTTATTTTGCAATCATTCTTTTGATTCATCTGTAGGTTGATGTGCAAATCTTTATTCCTTAGTAGAATGTGAAAAAATATCTGACAAGAAAGTATATAGTAGAAAACAAGTATCAAGGGTAAAACATGTTATTGGCCTGCTCTATCCCTAGCAGAGGAAGGTGTAGATTTTTTGGGGGGGGAAATTTGAGAATTATTGGCAACAAATACAGATATGCTAATCTTTTTATAGTAAATGCATTACTTTTATTCAAAAAGGCAGAACACTGCTCTCAGCATGATGTCATAGTGGTACAATGACGTCAGGACTGAGACTGGAGCTTTTAGACAGAAGGGGCAGAATTACATCTTTGCCCCCTCAATGGCAATCAAAATAATTCTTATTTTGTTTTTTGGTCATTTTGACCGCTCACGTAAAACCAATGGAATTATGAGAAATAGCCCCAAAAGTGTTTTATTTTCCACCAGTTGTATTTGAAGATTGTCATCCTCCCCACGGACTTCAGCGGTTTTATTACTTTACTCACTTTTGACAAGTGCTGAAACTGGTATTGAAAGGCTATAAAATGCTTCTGCTAAAAGTAGAAACTAACCAGCACTCGCTGTTCTTTGGTTGAAAAGAAAGTGGTACCAGAACAAGTCTAGGACCAGAACCAGCTCTTTGAAAAAGGGTTTGAAGTGACCTTGAAAGAAATAGACTGTAAAAGTAGAACTTCTCTCATTTAAAGAAATAATAGAGATTTTTTTTACAGTGTTATAAACTACATGTAGAAACAGAATAAGAACTAAAAGGTACATAAGCTGAGAAATGACACTTCTAAAAGTGCTGGGAGTTGTAGTGTCAATACGCCGCCTGTAGATCACAGGGATGAGTGCATTCTTAGATACAGTTCCCAGGCGCTTGCACCTGCCTGTTTCGTTCATTCATTTCTTTGCGACTGCACAGCTCTCAGCTCTGACCTAGTGGTGCTTCTCCCGTTGGCCTGCTTCCCCACTTCCCCGCGGACTCCAGCGCTCGTCCCAGCCACGGACTGCATTTAGATACAACGCTCCATTACATCAATTATGAATCTGGGGATGAAGGAGCAAGGCCAAATGGGATGGGACAGCTCTCTCTAGAGAAGATGACAAGCAAAGATGTGGGTGTGCGTGCGTGCGTGTGTGTGCGTGCGTGTGTGTGTGGCTGGGTGTGTGTTGGGGGTGTGTGTATTGTAGTCTATACGGACAAGGAGGAGATGTAAGTGCACAAGATGAACGAGAGCTGGAACGCTGAAAGATATTGACTGTACTGGGTTTCTGCAATGACGGCAACATTTAGGATCAGTCCGACCCACTTCCCGGAGAAGCCGTACATTTTAGATAATCAGAATGACGTTTGCACAGACTTGGTTTCTGTTTGTTAGAAAGTATTAAAGTTGGTCGCCAAGAAAGATTGTAGTTTGTTGGATTCAAATGGCTTTTGGTCAGAAAATCCTTTTTCCTGAAATGGACAGGATTTTTCATTCAACTGCTTTGGATAATTGTGACAATTAAGGTTTACAATTAGGCTGTGTAACTTTCAAACTATAAACAATAGAACGATGCAATACAATTCATTTCACAAGCTCCTCCCTCTTTGTTCTAAATTGTCACATATACTGGCAACCTGATATACTGCTTTCTCAGTAGAGCTTCCCATGCATTCTAACATACAGAAATGATGACAGAATTTTACTTTTACAAGATTATTCCTTTTGAATCAAATGTATTATTGTGATATTTGAAGCTAAGCAGGAAGAGGCCTGCTAAGTGAATGGATGGGAGACCACTGGGAATATAAGGCCACCACAGAGGGACTGGTATCGCAGCCAAAAAAGTTCTTAAATCGGAGTCAAAATTCTTACTATTGCCATTAAGTAACAGGAAGTCACAAACTAGGAATTAGGAATTTGCTTCGGCTCTTCGCTTATTCAAGTAAAAAACTAGTTATAAAGGCATGCATTAAAAAACTTAATACAATTTCTACTATAAAAGTACACACAATAGACACAGTGCAGATTAGTATAAGATATTCATGAATCCAACTTTAGAGTTGAAGAAACTATGCATTATTCTTATTCTTCATTTGCTTTATTTAATTTAAGCAGTGTTCAGTTGTTAAGTAGTGTTTGGCCAGTGTAACCAAATTTCCCGAGACACTTTCATTGCACTTTCCATCTCTGAAAAGTGCTAAAATCGGGTATGCTACATCACTTGGCGAAATTAAGGACTTTCATTTTTTAGCTTAAGTGGCCATCCGGCGCTTCCTTCCAGCTGGTGGTGGTAATGTGGCGTCATGCGTCAGCCATTTAAATCATTACCTTTCCCACATTGATCCAGCCAGAAGGTAATTGGCTCAATCAAGAGAATTAAAAGCCCGGGTAAGATGGAATAATTCGGCTCACAGATCAAAAGAGCGGCGGAAAAAGGCATCGGTGCTGAGGGGGAGGGGGATGCCAATATTAACACTGCGAGTAAAGAGGAGGGCCAAGAGGAATTAAAGCAGATGATTAGCATATGAATGAGAAAGTGGAAGTAGGTGAATCAAAGTGGGGCAGGATACAACAGTCTGATAGAGAAATGATTGAGGAGAAGAGCTCTGATTGGACGAGCGGAGATAATGGAGCAGCGGCTGGTATGTTGGAAATGAAGAACTGGATATAGGACTTATATCGGACTCTATGTGAAAAAGCCTTGATCGACATTGAAAGTCACGGAAAGACGAAAGACATCTGATATAAACCTAACCAGCGTTCAATAGAGTATTCAAGACCAGACAAAGATGACCACAGAGTTAGAGAGAATAAAATAAACTGTATTAACCATTTTATCCCCATTAGTTTTAATATATAATTTTCCATTTTCTTATAATTTTATAGAGCTATAAATTGTTACTTGTATTGTGGTAAACAGTGACCTATGTACTGCACAGGTGGACAGATGCAAGACAAAATAGTACTAATAACTTGGCCTTGTGGAGGTCAGAAAGACCACAGAGACTTTTGTTTTTTAGGCTATTTGGTGCCGGAGGTTTGGCCTTTTTATGATGACGTAAATTTCCATATATAATGTATCTGTGTCTTTTGTTCTGTCTGAAATTAACGACCATTTTGTGAATAAAACAGCCAGGAGGCTTTGTTGTACCAAGATCCCGTTTTGCCTGAGTCTGATTCCTATCAGTATACTGTATGAAAGGATATTTTTACATAAATCAGCAGCAGACGTCAAAGTTGCTATACATTTAAAAATACATGTGATATTCTCTTCATAGAATCATAGAATAACTCCCTTCAGCTTCACAAATTAAAACATTCATAAAGTATAACCTCATACCATTTTCTCCTTGGTCCATTGATGACGCTTCCTGATGAAAAGAAACCTTATAAATACACAATTTTACTGTGAAAATTTTACGATATAGAGGAGGTTAACAGCAATGACACACGTTTAGTTATTTATTTAAGGATAGCCCCATTGAGAGTGTCCTTTATCACAGAAGAAAAATGGCTTACATCAGCAATACAAAACAATGTGAAAAAAAGAGATGTATTGGTTGATATATAAACTAATAGTCGGCCAAAGCTTATTCCATTTTATATTTCCATGTACGTACTATTTAACAACCAAACTCAGTGGATTATTTTGTCAAAGCCTTTGTCAAAGTGGTGTTATTATCCAGCTCATTGTACTCTACAAATCTAAGCTGAAAATGGTTGTGAAAAAGGACAGTTGTTCCAAAACATTGCCTCTCGTTGAAGAGTCTGGTAATATCCTGTCTCTGTATCTTATCTCGCAAAGCACAGTTCCTGCGTTTAGTCGTTTTGTCTTTTCCGTCCATCCGCCAAAGCTGTGGTTTTATCTTGAATGCGGAAACAGATGCACAAAGTGGAAGAAGCCATTTGAGCCGTGAGCCGCCGCTTTCATGTGTGATGCCTCGGTTCCTCCTCAGCACATCTGCATTAGCCTCACCGGAGTCCTCCCGTCGGCTTAAGCGGGCTCCCCTGTTGTTCATCGCAGCCTGTCAGGAGTTTTTCTTTTTTACCCCTTCCTTTTTCCTTTTTCAGTAGTAGTAGTGTCACATGTCTCCCCTGCTGCGTTCCCCTGGATGCTCTGCGAACTCCCACACAAAAAACTTCCAGCGGAGTCGTCTGCTCCTTCAAAGCGCCATCCAGCGGGGCTAAGAGAACTACCACAATGAGCTGGATAAATACAGCACATAAACAGCAGCTAATCCAAACAGGTTACGTAAGCCTTCACAAGTGAGCGACGACGAGGATGAGCGGATAATGCTAAATGAGGTCTTGTTTATGGATGGATTTTCTCTAACTCTTGTAATTACACCGACTCACTTTCATCAGATTGTCACCGCGGTCCTTCGCAAGCTCTTTCTGTCTCATTTTGTGTCCTCTTTCTATCGCCACTTATCGGTACAGCTTATCGTTTGAGATTAAGAAATTCATCTGTCTGCTATTGCTTTTCATCTGAGTCACCTGTCGAGAAAGTTAGTTTATGCATTGGACGATTTAAACTTACTTTTGGATGTGATTTATACGAGAAACAAATCCCCTGATCCCCCCAATTGTTTTTTTTTTCAGATATTAGTTCTTAGTTCTCTGGGGTTTCGTTTTAGTTTAACTTCCTGTCCAGCTCCCCTGTTTAATTGTCTGCCCCGCCCTAATGCGTTTCATCTGTGTCTCTCCATGTTCCCTGTGCACTTCCCCATTTGTTGCTGGTCCTTTGTCTTTGTCAATATCTGTCCGTGTTCCTAGTTGTGTTTGGTATTATTAGTTTGGTTTTACCCCTGGACTTTCATTTCATCCCATCGATTAATTGTGACTTCATGACATTCCTGCATTTGGGTCCTTGTGACACTACAACTGCGTAAGACATTTTTTGACTGCGTATCCATCATGATGACGAATGCGCAATGTGATTTCTCACCCCATCAGTAGGGGTCGCCACGCAAGACCGCTCTACTCCCAATTGACAACCTCATTTGTTGTTGCCCGTGAGTAATGACGTCCGAACGAAGAGGATCTGGACTAGCAACTTCTTTGGGCCTTGGTGGTTAATCACAATTTCTTCTTGAGTGCTAGCTGGTCTTTTAAATGTGGCGATGAGGGAGAGAGAGTAGTCAAACTGGGAATTATGTTTTTAGCATCCCTTGCCTCAGTCTGTCTTGCCTCGCTATTTTTATTTTTTTGTCTGTGCGTGTGTGTGCTTTGTGGTGTTGGTGCCCCCGGTGTCTCCTCTTTGTATTCCAATGTAGTTTTTTCTGCAAATGGCAATACATTGATTCTGATTCTGATTGTCAATGTGAGCCTCCCCAAGGTTTCTCACTTTTCTCCCACTGGGTTTTTAGTTTTTCCTTGCCGATGCAGGAGGGTGGTGATGATCCAGGATATTTGACATTCAACAACATTGGTCATCTGCCCCTTATGGACCAATACCTCTATGTGTTTTTCTGTTTGATCTGTTTGATTCTCTGATTTGAGTTGGCAAATTCTACGGTTCCTCCGAGATAACTACTGTTTTATTTTAGGACTATACAAAAATGAGTTGCATTGAATCTAGGAAGTAGGCTACCACACCGCTATCTTACAACTACTACTACTACTACTACTACTAGAACAACATAACAAGAACATTTTAATTCAACACCATCTACTTGTCCTGGTCTTATTCCCACCAGGATATTCTCATGTAAGTGCATTGTACCCTCTCACACAAGGCCATCTCCAGGACATGCATCCACTCCAGCATTTCACCCTTTTTAAATATTTCAGCCTGCACTCACGATGCTCTTAATGTCCCACTTTCTTGAGTCTGCTGACCCAAAACATCTCTCCTTTTTCTGCCCGTATCAGCACAAACCCACATGACGATGCTACAGAGCGACTTGTCAAACCAAATGGCTCATGAATTATGGACACGCTTTATACATCATCGACAGTGTTCACAAATTTGCATAGGAGATTAGTTAAAGCTGCTTGACCTCTAAACCAAGGGCGTGATGGGT